TCCAACTCAACGGCACATAACAACAACAACAATAGTCTGCAAGATAACTTTTTCACGTTTATTTTTGTTATTCAATGATTTGCTATATTTCCTCTTTCATCAGATGGAGTTATCATTTAGGAGCATTTCTTCCTTTTGTTTTAATCCATAATACTTCTCAGAGTGCTGCTTTGAACATTTTGCTAAAAATCATGGAGTGAAGAGTGAACAACTGGAAATTAAAATAGAAACACATTTAAATTAGCATAAAACATGAAATAACTTAGGGATAAATTTAACCTGAAATATATGCAATATCTTTACATTGAGAACTATGAAATGTTGCTAAAATTAAATACTTGAAAAAAATCTATGTATACCATGCTCATAGATTAGAGGACTTGACATTTTTAAGGTATCCATAGATTCTATTGCTAACCAGAAGGCTAACAGTTCAAATCCACCAGCCACTCCTCAGAAGGAAGGTTGGGCAATCTACTTCCATAGTGATACTCCTTTGGAAACCCAAGGAGGGGTCGCTATGAGTCAGGTCCGACTCCACAGCAGTGGTTGTGTTGCGTTGCATTATAGATTCTATAGGAGCTCTGGTGGTATAGTGCCTAAGGCATTTGACTGCTAACCAGAAGGTTGGCAGTTCAAACCCACCAGCCACTCCACAGAAACAAGACCGGGCAATCTACTTTCATAGAGATTTTCTGCCTTGGAAACCTAAAGTGGGTCACTATGAATCAGTATTGACTTGATGGCAGTGAATTTGGTTTTGGTATAGATTCTATGCAGTCCCAGTCAAAACTCTATTAGATTTTTTTTGTGGTATAAAGTGAAAAGATGATTCTAAAATGCATATGGAATTGCAAAGGTCCTAGTCAAACCAAAACAATTTTGAAAAAGAAAGGCTGGAGATCTTATACTACCTAATTTGAAGGTTTATTATAGTGCTATAGTAGTCAAGACACTGTAGTTCTGGCATAGAGATAGAGACACTAATCAACAGAACATAATAAAGACTCCAGAGATAGACCAACACATATATAGTCAACTGATGTTCAAAAACAGAAGCCAAGGTAATTAAATGGGAAAGAATAAGTTTTTTTTTTTAAATTATTGTTGTAAGAATATAAATAACCAATGTTTGCCCACACAGCATTTTTCATGTGTACAATTTATTGAGACTAATTACATCAATCATTTTGTGCCACCATCACCAATATCCATTGTCATAAGTTCTAATTACCATAAAAAGAAACTCAGTGCTTCCTAAACAATGATTTCCCTTTCCTCCTGTCTTTTGTAAATAACCACTATTAATCTCTGATTATCTAAACATTTGCCTTTCCTAGTTATTTTATATCTGTGAGAGGAAAGGTTAGTCTTTTAAATAAATTTCATTGGAATAGCTGGATATCAATTTGGAAAAAATGAACACTGACTCTTTACACTGTATATAAAATTCAACTTGAAATGGATTATAGACCTAAACCTAGGAGGTAAAAACTATAAAAATTCTGGAGAAAATAAAAAAAAAAAAAATCCCATAGGTAAATGAATCATTCTCTAGGATAGACCATATTTTAGGTCAAAAAACAAGTCTCAACAAATTTAAAAAGATTAAAATTAT